TTTGCTTTCCGTGTAAACACCTTTTTTTCATCCGTTCTAATTGTCAATACAAAATGTACGGTTATATGTCCGTAAGTTTAAAAGGTTTTATCCGAATAAGAACTTAATTTTCGGTCTGTAATAAAACCTCTAGCTTTTGTCTGTGCTAGTGTATTTGTTTTCACTATGTATATTTCATAGGGTTTTCTCTGTAAATATGCTAGTTTGTGTTGGTTAAACTACGCTATGTTTTTGTCGCTGCAAATACGCTATTTTTTGTATTTGTTATTTATTGTAGCTATACATTATTTGTAACATAGTTATTCTTGTATAAAATATAGTATAAATCATAAGTCCATAAGTAATAATTTCAATTACACAGGATTCGATAAATAGGTCATAATTATTCAGGTTCCTAACACAAAGTTCGGTCAATCAATACAATCACTAACAGCGTGCAAACATCAAGGTTGTGTACATGTATATCACGTGTGTTCTGACCTTTATAAAGTGACCCCAGCGCAACATTGGTCACTTTGTACAAATTTAGGTTACATTACCTAAAGCTATAAAACTGCAACCAGTGGTCATAATCCGTATGTAAATGATCCGATACAACAAAGGTCAACTAGTTCATAACTGGCTTACAGAAATTTACCTCTCAGGCGGTTTAACTAAGGGGCACTAATACTGGGTAACAATAACATGCATTGTTGCTCAGCAAGCCCAAATGAAAAAGGTCATGAAATGAACCTGAAGCAACTGCGAACGCTGAATTGCCTTGACAGGTCTTTCATTATGCTTGGGCTCTTTATAGATCGTGTGTATTTTGGTTTTAAATTGCAAAAATGATGTTTGATCAGCTGTGGTTAATGTATTATGTCTACTATGTATCTATATAAAAACATGTGTTCTAGATATTTGAAAATGGTTTTTATCAATCAAAGGTCAATATTTTGCGTAGGAGTATCCGTGCAACGTTGTCGTTTCTCGGGACGCTTATAACTGTTTAGACGCTTTCCATTTGGTAGTTTGCTTTGTGCGACCTCAGACGTGAATCTGATTAACGATGTTACACATTAACACCGTTCCATTGTTCGGATGTATTTTTCTGTGTGTGGTAGCCTCCGCCACGGAGAGAAGAATACAGTTAAATGACTACAGGATCTAAGGGTTCAAGTTAATTCCCAACAACAAACCATCGCCAGTCTACAGAGTACCATGAGTACTCAGAAGTATACCATGGACGTCCAGGCACAGACAATTATCAACCTCCAGCACACCATTACCAGTCAGCAGTCGGCCATTGCAACAATAACACAAAGAGGTAATACGTATCATTATTCGGAAGCATTGTAGTCTAGTAGTAGGACACCAGGCTCGTGGCCAAAAAGTTGCGAGTTCGAGTCACGACACGACATTGTGTTGAGCAAGATACTTTACTCTGCTCGTTCCAGTCTACTCAGCTGTAAATGAATACGTGGTTGGGCAGTGCTAGAATTATTGAATGCTAGCTGTGAGCGCCGAAATGGCAGCACCGGCTGTATGCTCCCCAGGGAGGTGAGAAAGATATAGGCAAAGGCCCGATAACCTAGGATAATAATTTGTGAACCGCTTTGAGACGACATACGAACTAGGTTGTGATAAAGCGGTGTATAAGAAGCTCGAATTATTATTGATTATTATTTAATTATTCGACGTTGTTTTATAACTCAGACGAAATAACATACTTTTTGTATATCTATGAGCATCCGCATATAGTAAAAAGTGATCGTTAGTTTTCTGTGATGAATTTTATGTAGCATTGTCTCATGGTGACTGTTTATCTGTGTACTATCTGTTGTGATATGTAAGTATTCATGCTTATGTCATGATAAAGTGGCGGACTGTTTGAACAGGTGTCACAATTATGTGTCTGTAATGTCGCTATTATTTCTATGCTTATAAATATTTGATTGTAGTTTCATAACTAATTGATAACAATGTTTACTTTATAAACCTCGGTAATATTTTAGTGCATACCAAAAAGAATAAAATGTAAAGCCACTTATACGAAACATGTATCACGGATATCGGTGTATAAGTATACCATTGTTTAAGTTAATATTGTGGACCTGTTGTTCAATTCTGTGCTTGTGACTACGGGTGTATTTACATTGCGGTGTTCTCGTTTTTTAATATGTAGGAAAGTTGTGTGCCATTTGTGAAGAAAAATAATGACCTTTTCTTGAATAACTGACGCACGACTGATTAAGCAAACACTTCTTTAAACAGGGAGTGGCAAGGGTACAGTTTTTACCAGATGGGGCCGGAATGACTGTCCTGTGTAGAACGGAACAATTCTTGTGTATTCGGGTAAGTATAATAGTTTACTTTTCTATTAACGACGTCACCTTTCTGGTTGCTATTGGATATTTTATCTTTTGTTTGTTTTGTCGCAAAACCTTCCTAGTGTGTTTCTTATCGTTGCGAAGGTTTCGTAGAAGGAGAATACTACAATCACTCTGGTGGAGCTGGGGATTTATTGTGTATGCCGGAGGACCCCACGCCTGGACAGAGCCACTATAATACATTTTCAGGCTTCATATACGGCGCCGAAATTCAACCAGGGTATGACCTGTTTGGCCTCCCGCAGAATGACGAAGATGTTTCCTGTGCTGTTTGCAGAAACTCCGTTCACGCCACCTCAGTTATGATCCCCGGGAGGACAGCGTGTTTCCCGGGCTGGGTTGAGGCTTACAGTGGCTTTATTGTCGCTGGCTACCCAGATCATCCTTCGAACACGGACTACATATGTATGGATGGACGTCCACAGCCAGTTCCGGTTGGACAGGGGAACGATGATGGAGTACTGCTCCGTCCTGTGGTGACCAAGTGTGGCTCTCTGCCATGTCCACCATACGAGAACGACACATTGGTGCCTTGTGTTGTTTGCATGATGTGAAATTGCATAATAAAACGACATGCGCTATCTTCGTGTTGTTTGTCGTTAAAGTTTGCATTACAATAGCATGTTTTACTGCCGATAGAAATTTCAACTTTGTTATCTTTGTTGGTTTTAATTTGTTACGGAGTTGACATACTTTTGTTGCATATGGTTCATTTTTCTATGCATCTTTGAGGACTGGTGAAGAAGGGACGAATGTGGTAGACTGTGGTTGTGGTTTGAATTACGGTTAAACCATTACCCTTTTTCCTTTCCTGTAACATGTGAATCGACGTACACGGGAAGAAACGTTAAATATTTTGATAAATTGACAATTAGCATGATAAACGATATGTTAACATCGATACTAATATCACCTTCATAGTTCGAGAGATATAGAGAATAGTACATGCCTTTTTCCATATCACACCCAGTATCAAACCGAGACTGCAATATCAGCCCAAGGGCCGAAGGCCCGAGGGCTGATATTAGTCGAGGGTTGATACTGGGTGTAATATGGAAAAAGTGATGTTTTATTCTGTTTATTACATACTTACTAATAAAAGCTACTATCTTATGATAATTTTTTCTTTTGAAATATTGAAAAACGAAAAATAAATCAAAAAGGGGTGTGGAAAAAGTCATGATTTATTCTGTTTATTACATACTTACTAATAAAAGCTACTATCTTACGATAAAAAAATTCTTTTGAAATATTGAAAAACGAAAAAAAAATCCAAAAGGGGTGTGATACGGGTTTTGTGGGCTGATACGGGTTTTGCGGGCTGATACGGGTTTTTGGGTGTGACACGGCGGGGGCTGATACGGCTTTTGGGGTGTGATACGGCGAGGGCTGATATGGGTAAGAGCAATGGTGTCGTATCGCATATACAAAAACCCCGTATTTATTAGTAAGTATGTAATAAATACGATGAAACTATGTTTATTGCCGCTGGTTTACCAGACCATCCTTTGAACACAGACTAAATATGTATTGATGGAAAGGTATGCGTCACTTGTAAGATACAAACTAATATCTCCAAATCCTGAACAAAAATCCTCGCCAATTAGTTACAGACACAAATACCCCCGTAAATTGTCCAGTACAGTGTGTAAAAAAACTCATCGAGTTGCCGGACATGTGATCATCACTTACTCAGATATCATAGGGGGTAATACTGAATTTATTTTGTATAAAAAAACTCGAGAATTTCGTTTGTCCGTCGGGCGATTGTTTCAAGGTAACATATCGTAGTCAGAGGATCAACAACTGGAACGGTGTGTACCTATTACTGTAGAAAAACGTTCAAAGGGAGACAACTCGACAATTGTGTGCGTCTCTGACACAACTATCCAACGATCCGCATCATAATGATATGGAAACCGAGTTTTAAGGTAATTACCAGAAATATATATATTCAGAAATGTTCGAATCAAACAGTGAATTATGGAACGAAAAGCAAAGTTTCTGTCACAATTTTTGACGTCCACACACAAGAAGGTTACAAGGCATTTCTAACAAACTTCTGATATTCTTAAGTCGGATCCACAGACACAGCACCAATCGTTAGACCATTAGTGTCTGTGTTGACACTAATGAAAGTTTTAAAATAATGTCAAAAATACTCATTTTATTAATACTTTTTATCACAGTTTTACAATAATAACCGTTTGCCAGGATGTGTTACCGACAGGCAGCTAAGATGTGTCATCGACGTCATTGTCTCCCGTGTAATTCTCTCGTATTGTAGTGATTATTATGACCTTTCTTTGTGTAGCTATGTGACGTTGAAATCTCTATAAACGTATTGTATTGCTGAACCGGGACCACTACTGTGTGGTCCTGTATGACATTATTGTGTTGATGGACTGTTTAGACTACTGTCTGGCCCTGTATGACATTATTGTGTTGATGGACTGTTAAGACTACTGTGTGGCCCTGTATGACATTACTGTGTTGATGGACTGTTAAGACTACTGTGTGGCCCTGTATGACATCATTGTGTTGATGTACTGTTTAGACTACTGTGTGGTCCTGTATGACCTTATTATGTTGATGGACTGTTAAGACTACTGTGTGGCCCTGTATGGCATTACTGTGTTGACGGACTGTTTAGACTACGATGTGGTCCTGTATGACATTATTGTTTTGACGGACTGTTTAGACTACGGTGTGGCCCTGTATGACATTATTGTGTTGATGGACTGTTAAGACTACTGTGTGGCCCTGTATGACATTACTGTGTTGACGGACTGTTTAGACTACGATGTGGTCCTGTATGACATTATTTTGTTGACGGACTGTTTAGACTACTGTGTGGCCCTGTATGACATTATTGTGTTGATGGACTGTTTAGACTACGATGTGGTCCTGTATGACATTATTGTGTTGTCGGACTGTTTAGACTACTGTGTGGTCCTGTATGACCTTATTATGTTGATGTACTGTTTAAACTACTGTGTGGTCCTGTATGACCTTATTGTGTTGATCCATGTTTAGACTACTATGTGGTCCTGTATGACCTTATTGTGTTGATGGACTGTTTAGACTACTATGTGGTCATGTATGACCTTACTGTGTTGATGTAGTGTTTAGAATACTGAGTGGCCCTGTATGACATTATTGTGTTGATGGACTGTTTAGACTACTGTGTGGTCCTGTATGACTTTATTGTGTTGATGTACTGATAAACAAAACGTTATACGATACAATTATACAGATAAACACGTTATTAGATACAATTATACTGATAAACACGACGTTATTAGATACAATTATACTGATAAACTCTATTAGACACTACACCAAACAACTTGGTTTTGAAAATACCAAATACATGTACACATTCCTTCATGTTAAATGTAAAGGTTGCCTTCAAGTGTTTATTTCAAATGAACGTGTTTAAATAGTTGTTATATTGTTTGAGAGTTTACATTTTACAATACGCCAGACTTAGCGCTATAGTGTTAAGATGCCCACAATGCCAAGGTATATGCAATTGGATAAATGCACGACTTATTTATGTCAAAATTATAAAAAAATGAATGAGTAGTTTCTATTTACATTTGCCCTGCTTTGCCAAGTAAACATATTATGGTCATATAAGGACGTCATATCAACAGCTACGGTCATTTAAGGACGGCCTCCCCTATGTGCAAGATGCATGCAAGTAGTGTATGCGTGTGTGTTTTGGGAGTCTGCGATATGTTCATGTTTGTCTCCTTGTGATAGCGCGGATGTCGACTTTATAGTGCTACCTCACTGAAACATACTGGCGAAGGCACCCAGCAGGACACCCCACCCGGTCACATTACACTGACAACGGGCGAACCAGTCGCCCAACTCCTAAATTGCTGTGCGTTAAGCAGGCGTAGAAACTACCATTTTTCAGACTCTGGTATGTCTCGGCCAGGGGACAAAACCGGAAGACAGGGGCGAACGCTCAACTATTGGCCAAAAGTGAGGCATTGTCAAGGGAGACATTAGGAAGAAGAAAGTTGTTTAGAAAGAAGAAGAAAGATAAGATCCGAAATTTAGCCTGCAGGGACGATGAACAGAGAATGATTTCTCTAGTGTTATATTTGACGTTAGGGAAGTTTCTGAATATATAATTACCTGAATGTATGTCTAAAGAGCAATTTCTTTTTAAAAATAATATACAACATCGTTGTTCATGTCAGGATCAAAACGGTATTCGAATGCCTGAGAATATGGAGGAAAAGAACATTATTGGGAATGTCAATTATCATTACGAGCGTGTTGGTTAACAATTCCGACTTTGTACAACATTGACCAGAAGTATTGGTCTTAATTCTAATGCGTGAGGGTCATCCATAATTTGGTCGATATAACAATATTACATACGTTTGTTAATGACATAAACGATCAAGTTTCGCTTGCCCTCCCAACCAAAAGAATGTCACGTTGTTGATTTTTTGTAAATATTTTATTACGTGTTTTTCTGTACAAAGAACAAATATTAAAGGTAAATTGCTTTTAATTAAGTCTTTAGTGGTGAACTTGTTTTAGGTGATTTGGAAAACGATCATCAGCTTGAGTCAGTGACATTTCAATGGATTTTTTAGTTGGTAATGCCTCTCGGTTTGAGTTTTGAAGTGAGAAATGTTAGTGCAAGCAAAACATATACACTGATCAGCCTAGTGTACACATCGTCCTCTAATATTCAAATGCACAAAGTGAAGTTTTCAAAAATATATTTTTGTAACAAAACTCCCCGTATATATTGTATATTCGGATAAGCCAATAAAAACACCAAACTTGAACACATTAAAACCGTATCGACTATCGGTAGATGAGAATAACCCACACTAGAATCCTAGTAGATTACATAGTCGTACAATATGTTGCAATGACATCGCATACACCAAAAGAGAGTTAACAAAATATGATGAAGTCCTCACACAGGTTAACGTATATTGATAAAAAGTATTTCCCCACTATAAGTCATAATTCTAATGCTATGCATTATACTCCTTAAGTAAATATTTGCTTTTTATCATGATACACCATTGCTTACTCCTTTTATATTTTAAATTATTCATATTTTCAAATCGCGAGTTCCAAACATCACTGAGTCTAGCATT